CATGATTATTAGTAATTTTTTGAGAAATTTTGCTAATTTTACGTTTACTTACAATATTTATGTTCATCAAAAAATTGGGATGTCAAAAATGTACGGTAACTTTGTTATGTTATGTATGTTTTCTTAAATTCCCTTGGTTCTTAAATGAATATAAAATTAATTTATTGAACTAAAACACTTACTCAATTGAAGTGACTTATTCTAACTAGTAACTACTTCAATTCGTAATTATATACTATACATTTTCAAATCAAATCACTTGAAAACTATACCACCTACTTTGATTTAAAACTCGTTCGAAAAATTTTCATATTAAAAACATTATTATTTAATTGTTATTTATTATTTTAATTTAAAGAAATAAAAATTTATTTTGAACATTAAATTTTAATAACACTTAAGAATTGAAATACGTGCATATGTATATGTTTATGTATATAATGTAAATGTTTATATGCGCTTATAAAGTACTAAAGGAAGGAAAAAAGAGAATTCTTAATGTTATACTCGTATTGTGTATACGATTTTCATCCTTGAAACTTTATTAGAAAATTAATTAAAAAAAAAAAATATTTAAATTTAAAATTCTTAATGAATAAATTACAAAATTAATATCATTTTATTATTTTTAAGAGATTTTAGAATAAAATAAATTTCTATTTAATTTTCTTATTTATTGAGAATATTTCTTATATGCGAAAATACTGTAATTTTCTAATTTTATTAAAAATATTACTTTGCTTCATAGTAAATACCATTTGAATGGTTATAAATTTTCACATCAAAAGAAGCACAGAAAGTCTATATTCACATAATTGATAAAATTTTAAAAATTTCCATGTGAAATGTAAAATTTTTAACCAATAAAACAATATAAGCATACACCATGCGTCGGTTTATGTTCTTTACTTTGTATACATGTTTGAAAAATAAAATTTTAAAATTAAATTAAAGGGTTTAGGACGGCTAAAATTTTATTTTATTATTCTGCTTTGGGAATCTCGAGTTTATACATCTGGCTTATACAATTTTGGGATACCCTGTACGAGTGAATGATTTTAAGAGTTATATGATAATTGCCACACTATTTCATATGGTCTCTTGTTATTTTATTTGCTTGCTGCAGTTTTATGCATTAATGGGATTTACCGTTTATAATAACATACAATCTTAAAGACGCTTACCGATAATTCACTTATGTGAAATTTCATCTTATTCGCGTATGCAAAATTTCAACACTGTGTTTCTATAACATATTATGATCAAATCACTTTTAAAGTTGTCCGGACAATGCCTCGACCGCATCTAATTTAATTAGAATTCCGGTATTTACTCTTATAAATCATTTTAAAAAATTCGATGAGTTCAATTAGTTTTTGAGTTATCGCTGAGAATCATGACATGGTTTTGAGTTATCGGAAAGACCTGATTTAATTGGTTCAGAATTCTCTTCAAACAACCATAAGGTCTAAAATTACTAATAAAAATTTCATAAAAATATATTTTATTTGAACTGTACTTCAGCTGAAAAAATACAAACTTAAATATAAAAACCACATTGTATATTGTCTAGTTAAGTGAAAGTGTTACGGAATATTATAAAAATGTCTGTTAAATACTTCTTTCCAATTTTTAGGACATTAGTAAGCTTATAGTTACCATACCTAGAAAAATGTAAATTTGGCTCTTAGTAGAGTTTCGCTAAGTGCTACCCGAATTCCCTGAAATGCTCGCCAGTTAGTTTCGGTAACAACCAGAACTCAAATATCAAATTTCAAGAAATTCGTTTCTAAAAAATAGTTTACTTACACTTCCCTACTATGGAGAAGTACATTCCCACCGAAAACTCGATGTGTAAAATTTGTTGCCATCACATAACCTACCTATTGTTTAGACAATACGGTCGGTAAAAAATTCAATACTTAAACGCCACTTGATTGAAGTTTAAGCAAGGGAACTGTGTAACATCTGAACTTTATGGTATTAAGAAAAATTAAATGTGGTTTTATTATGTTTTTCAAAGAAAAACTTAAAAAATTATTTGAATCGCTATATTATTCAACTTGTATTCTTATTTTAATATTTTGATTGTATAAGAGTATTCTTGTAACTAATTCCATTTCATGAAATAATGAGTCCAATATTGGGTTTGTTATTGTATAAACCGTAGAAACAATATTCTTTTCGATTATTTTTATAAGAATTATAAAAAAACCTTGAACGAAAATAAAAGTATGTACATGATTCCTGACATAAAATTCTATATTTTCTACATTTTTTTCATTAAGGTCACTACCAATTACATGATTCTGTTGTATTAAAAACTTCGACCCAATTTCAATTAATTCCTTTTAACATTGACAATTAAATGTAAGGATCAAAAAAATACGTGCAAATGTAAAATAGAAAAGATAATTGGAATAAAAAATTTTTTTTTTTAAAAAAAGAAAAGCTTTTGTTTGTTATCAAAAAGGTTATAGTGGTTCGTTCCAATATTTTTGTACTAATTTTAAATACATAAGACTCAAATAAAATTTTAATTCCTTATAAAAGAGCCAAAAAAACGGAATGAAAAATGATTGATATTTCGCGGTCTTCACATCAAAAACGTGAATGAAACCAAAAAAAAAAAAACAATATTTTTAGTGTCTTTTTTTCTCTCAATTAAAAATTGTATTTTGTATGAGAGTAAATGGGTTCAGCACCCACATTTCATAAATATATAGATACATCATAATATTTTCTTAAGTGAAATTGCAATGTTAAAAAAAAAATAAATAAATTTCATATTGAAAATTAAATGATTTCAGGCATTGGTCTGAGAAATACGACAAGTTGTACTTAAAATAGTGTTCTTCATAGTTCAAATATAAAAATGAGCCTATTAGTTTCACCCCGTACGTTCGTTTATTCATCCGTTTACCAGAACTCTACGCTCTTCAATTTCTTAAGCTTAAATGTTGTTTGTATATAATGTGAATATTATCCTTGCTCTCTCTCTATAAATTATAATATTTGAAAGACATGCAATAGAAAGTAATTTAATTCGGCAAACACAGAAAGTTAACTGTAATTTCTTCTATTTGAAAAAATAAAAGTTTAAATGTCAAATTCTCCCGAATTTTTGAAGTCGTTGTTATTCTCAATCATGGCAACTCAGAGGACCCTCAAAAATTTTAATAGTTTCTTAATAGACGTCGGTAAATATTATATTTTATTATAGTATATAAAATTTTTTACCATTTTCTACTCTATCCTTTCCTATTGCTTTGTCATTAAAAACTTTATCGAACGCCTGGTAGAGGAAAAATGTAAAATTACAGATACTTGTCTTTCTATAAAAATGATTGCCCCCAATTATATGCAATATTATCAACAGAATATTGTTGATCAAAATATCGAATAACCAAAGAACGAGTGTTAATAAAAGTATTAGAAGAAGGAAGTTATTTAAGGCGAATACATTACGGAAGAACTAGTCAAATTTTTTAAAGGAAAATGTGCTATTTTAAAAAACCATGTCGAATACATTATAGTTATTTTAAACTTGAAAATTGTATGACAATCATTGTAATTGAAACAACTAGTAGTGATACTCGCTTTGATAATATAAAAATTCTCATAGAATACAGATTCTGAGGTTTCAAGCGAAAAAAAATAAACCTACTTAAATTAAACTGTTCTATATAAAATGAATAGAATAATCCTTTGACCTTTCGCTAATATAAACTTAATACAACAAATTAATTTAAAATTTAATATAGGAAAAAAACAATTATTTATTAAGTCTGTAATTATTATCCTGTATTACAAAAGTAGAATTATTTATATTTTGAAATACGGATGAAAAGGATAATATTTTTGTTAAAATTAATATCGAATAGAATTATATGGGGTCAAATCGAATAGAATTTTTATTATTCATTTAAATTTTATGTTAATTTTATTTCCAGTTCTATAAATTTTTATTAAAATTATTAATTAAAATTGTATGCTCATATTACTCATAGAATATTAAATTTTTCCATTATCTTGAAATATAAAATTATTATTTATGAATTTTAATAGAAAATTTTATCGAATCAAGTCGATATAACCTTTATTTACAACCTGTTTTATTATAACAAGTATTTGTAATTATTATTCAACTCAATTTAATTATTTTAAAATCCTCTTATAATACACAATTTATAATTAATTTTGAAATACAATTTTAGAAATTTAATTATAAGTCTAATATGTATGGGCATTTTGACTTCATGAATATTGTTCCAGCTGACATTTTATAATAATTATAATTAATTTTTAATAAATATTGAGTTCAATATTTCAATAATATTGTTTTTGAATCGCATTTACATCATTTAACATCATGAGAAACATCTTTTACTGAACTCAGCTTTATTCAAAATTTTTTAAATGACATATTAAAATTTATTCAGGCTCTATATTAAAATTTAATAATTTGCTTTAAAAATTATAACCAAAAATTGACTAATATGGCTCTTCAAAACTCTCACAAAAATTCATTGTCAACATTTTACTTTTAAAAAATGTGACAGTAAACCTGATGAAAATATAATAATTTCTATTATTTCCCGTCAAACAAAGTCAAGCAGTTTTACACATATACGATTTTCATCAGATTCAGATTACATCTTAGATTTTTACAGCACAAGAAATTATTAATATCGAGTTACATTTAGAATTGATCTCTCCTAATACTCGAATTTCTCTATATATTCGAAAAATGCCGGTCAACTTGAATTTCCCCTTTATAAATCGAATTATATTTTGTATACTCTTTGTTCTCAAATGATTGATTTTGTTCGAGCTTTTTCTACTTTGAGATCTCTTTTAAATTATAAAATGCGAGTTGAAGAAGCTAAGCTCAAATTTTCGCAGTATGTTTTAATTATAAAGCAATATTGTTGTGAATGTTTATACATACATATAGAAATCACATACATATAATATAATTGATCAATTCTCTAACTTACCTGAAACAATTGTATTCTTCGTCCTGTTTTAATTGCTGGATTTCTAGCTTCAGCGCTACAACAATTTCCATATTCAATTGCTGTCGATACATCCTCTGAACTAATCGATCTAACTGACATTTTATCTGATTGATGTTGATGCTGATGTTGATGATTATGATTATTATAATGAATATGAGAATTTTTATTTTGTAATTGTTGCTGTTGTTGTTGCTGTTGTTTTTGATATTGATCACAATGATGATGTTCCTGGGTATGATTATGATGATGATTATTTAAAATATTAACAAATTCTGTTGATGATTGTTGACATCTAATTGATGTTTGTAATGTTGTTGTTTGTGTTTCTGTTGGCGCTGTTGTCGATGACTTTTTATAAATGATTGGTGATTTTTTAATTATATATTTCCCGTTCCACATTTTTTTTTTGACTTATTTTATGAAATATTTTTTGAATGGAATTTTTTTTTTAATAATCTTCTATGTTTATTTGATTTTAATTATTATTGATGTTTAATATGTAGGTTACATGGATTAGAATTTTTTTTTTGCTTCATTGTACACAATTTATAAAAATTTAATAAAAAAAATATTTTCAATTTAAATAAATTAATATAAAAAATTAATAAGTTTTATTAATTAAGTTTGTAATTAAAAAACTAAAAACAGAAATGAAATAATGACGCCGATGAAATATTTTTAAGAACATTCTACCACTTGTCCCGAACCGCTCTTCCAAATTTATAAGCTACTACAAGTTGTTTTCTTTTCTTGTAATTTCTGTTTCTTTGCAAATTTTTAATAAAATTCAATTGATAATTGAGTTATTAAATTCTAACAGGAAGTAAGAAATTCAGCTCGAATGAATACTGAAAAGTCCTCGCGTCTTTTAAATAACTTTTATTCAAGAGGCCAACAAATACCTGCAAATTATTGTTACATTATCATAGCATTCGAATGGGTTGAAATAATTTACTGTACTTATGTGGGAATACGAAAGTACGAGAGAGAAACGTAAGAAAGTAATTACGAAAAAAAAGCGGAACGTATAACACCTCGTCAGTTAAAGGCTAAATTTTGTCGGAACTTCTTATATTCTATAGTTCTTATAAGTTTTAAAGCGATTTCCTCTCAATTATCTACTAATCTATAACAACTTATAAGAAAACATTTATGTCTCTATAAAAAAAAAATAAGTCTTATGATTACATATTTACATAGATAGACATTATCTAACCACATTCATATTTTTTCTATTAAATCACATAATTTTTCAATTTACATCAAAAAATTTATTCTTTAAATTAAAAATTTTTAAACCACATGTAAACCCTCTGACTAACCACATGTAAAAATTTATATGTACATTTTGGTTTTTAACCAAAAATAATTAAATTAATTACATTTGTTAGTCCTTGTTGTAATAAAATAAAATATTGGAATTTTTTTATCAACAATTCATAAAAACTTTTGATGCATTTTAAATATAAATGTGTATATGTAGATATGAACATACTTTGTCGACACAAATGTTTAAGAAATTGTAAAACCTAAGCAAATTTAAATAAATTAATATTTGAAAAGCAAGCGAAGTATCTGTATGCACCCCCATCTATACCTGTTCCGAAATAGGCTTCAAATGCTTAAAGAACAAAGACAGTCAGACTAATTGATCTAAATTTTGTTTTAGATGTTCGTGAACTATTCTGTCTGATTTTGTGATGAAGACATAAGACTTCTCTTTGACTTGGATGCGCGGCACAGTAAGAGGCACCTTCCATAAACCTTTAGAATTATATTTAGAAAACAATAAATTTCTTCGGGTTTTGCAACATCACCGAAATTATGCTTTCCACTCAGAATACTTGACGCTGTAATAAATTGTCTGCAGTCCAGTCAACGTCTTTGCCAGTTATAAGAGATTTTAGCCCCCCTGTTAAAAAGAAATTAGGGGCCTCCATAAATATTTCGGTCCATATTCTGTCGTTTCTTCTAGAAATGAAAGAATATACTAATCTTTAGATAGTCATCTGCTATTCGTTCATCATTCGAGCATGTATGTGTATACATTAATAAAATAAAACTTTTTAAATATAATATAAAAATTCCAATGATCATTGCATCATAACTTTTAATGCAATATTTAATATATTGCAATATTAAGGCATTTGAACGACAAATATTTTTTTTTTCTTTAGAATTTCCTATAGCAAAAAGTTTAAGCAAAACTTTTCATTTTATTTAAAAGTTTTTAAAATTTTTCTTTAAGTTTAACCGCAAACATACTTACATAAATACGTGAAGAAGAAATTTTTTCGAAAAAATTTTTCTTATTACTCAATATCGCTTAATTTTTCATTACTTTTAAAATTCTTTTAGGACTATTTCCATAAAAAACTTATGATTCATTTCCATTACGAGTTTTACGAGTAAAGGACTTTTTGTTAAACAAGAAGAAAATGAAAAGAGAAAAAAATTTTTAATATAATCACGACGTCAAAGCTTCAAATCATGATTAGGGTAAACCGCAAATTGTAATTTTTGAAATATAGTTAGTGACAATGGTAAATAAATTAATTCTAGTACGATACCCAGTCTTTCTATGTTCTTTTTGAGACAGTCAATCTTACTGAGGGAGTAATTTTTTTTGAAGGAAATTTTTAAAGCATAATTGAATGAAATAATTAAGGCTTATTAATTTTAGGCGTTTTTGTATGACCGGCTAGACCTTTGATACTTTTTATATACACTAGAATTTATTCCCCTCAGTTTACTGTCAAAGTAAGCAAAAAGAATTATTTTAAGCGAAAAAATCATTCAAATTCAAAAAGTTACTATATTAAAATGATTGAATTTTTATGCAATTTAAGTTCTTGATATACTTGAATATAACATTATTAGTAAAGTTATAATTTTCTACCTACCTCCTTAAGATTTCGCTACCCATAACGAAAAGTATATACGTTATTTAAAATTGTATAGTAAAGTTCAAATAATTTTAGGGCGAGAAAAATTTTTACGTATGTACAAATCCGGTCTTGGCGTTACGCCTTTGCATTACCAAAATTAATATAGTTAACGACTTATTGTCTTAAGAAAATTCATAATGGTAGTGGCAAAAATAATAATCAAAATGAAAATTGCGAAAATTATTTCAAGTAAATAAACAATATTGGAACAATTAAAACAGCTTAAATTTATGAGATTTTTACAAAATTTTCGTAAGTTGACTCGGAAATTGTACGCAATTATCAAATTATATAAAAATATAAAAAGAAAATAAACTTTTTAACATTTTTAAATTTTATTACAATTTTGTTATTCTATTTATATATTTATTGTATATTGATAGCAGACAATGTACAATCAATTGTACAGATTGTATATTGATTGTAGACAATTTTTCTCCACCAATATAAATCGTATATAAATGATCTATGCGAGCTGGATGTAGGTACATATGTAAAGTATATAGTCTAACAATTTGATTGACAGTCTAAGACGCAAAATCTAAATATAAAATATATACAAAATTGCTATTATTGCAATAATAATTCAAACAAATACAATACAAATTGAATGTAGCAAAAAAAAAGGACATAATATCGTAATCAATTTTAAGTACAGACACTTTGATATAGCAAAGAAAAAAAGATGAAACAGCAAAACAAAAAAGTTTTACCCATTTTCTTTTTTGCGTTTGAGAAAAAATTCAATGTTGACACTTTCATTCTATCATCATCATTACTTGAAGAATCTTTTATTTTCATCTTTAAAAAATTATGCGTTATCAAAATTTATTTCTTTTTTTTTTAAATAAAATTCTAACGAATTTACCAACTCAAGAGAATTAAGAAAACTAGAAAATTTGTCATAGATAATAAATCCATAAATTTAGATAAGTTCCTTAAAATATTTTTACTTCAATCAACTTATTAATCTATTTAATTTTGAAAATAAATTTCTTATAAATTTTGCATATTGTCAGGCTGAACGTTCATATACATAATATTGAAAAGAGCGCAAAATTTATTGCACAATAAGAAAACATCTTTTCATTTTTACAAGGAATTAAAATCAGATATGAGAATAAAGGTAATAGAGTTTGAGCATATCACCTAAATTAATTATCAGAAATTTAAGAAATTTCACGATTTCTGATAATTTTATGAACTTGATTTAATTCCGTTTTAAATCATTTATGGGAACTGATTGAATTTGCTTAGAATTCCATGCTGAACAAGAATATGTACATATAATATCCCAGACCATTATTCCTCAACTTTACATATGAAATAAGAAATTTGCAATACGACATTTGAACTTATACGTTTGCGGTTCATATGATTAAGTATGCTCATACTTAGAACACATCAGAATATTTAGAGAATTTAATGTTTCATACACCACCATTTATTTACCACCTTTGATGTTTTAAACCTAAACCATTTAATTTTATTATACATCAATCAAGTTTATTGCTTTACGCTTAGCTGAAATTCCATTTTTTATGTCTAATAATTACTTAAAGGAGTTAATGCAATTATATAGGAGTACTTATATAAACAACATAATTGTGTATACATTTTAAGCTCAATTTATTTTGAAATATTTGATAATTTATTTTGAATATAGTGCTAAAGTAAATGTTATAAGAAAATTCTTTTATAACCTTTTAAAATTTAATGTTTAAAATGTATAATCCCATTAAAAATTCTAAAGAAAATCTTTACTAATTATTTTGCTGTTTATTCGAAAGCATTCATTCGTATATGATAGGTTCAATACAACATTAGTATATATATATAGGTACTTAATACACATTTTGATTGCAATGTGCTAACAAAATTTTCTTAATTAAATTATAAAAAAAAAATTAAGTGTTATAATTAAGTATAATATTTTATAAGGTTATAAAATTTTAATTAATTAGTCATATTTACTAAGCATTTTGTAAACACTTTTTTTATATCACATTGAAAAATCTCAATAATTTTTTTTATTATATGTTTTCAAATATATTTGTTTGTGATTCGTTATATAATACGTATAATACTTTGAAAATTGTTGTATACAGCATATAGAATGTTTACAATTTTATATTGTAGTCGAATATTGGTACATACATAGGTGTCAGTCTTTTAAGACAAGGTAGCTTTTGAGCTTTTATAACAAGAAAATTATTTATGTGCAATAAATTTGAAGAGCGTTGTTGGCATTCAATTGTATATTTTGATATATTGGCTATAATAATTACGCTGCGTTGAATAGAATTTTATAAAATAAACTTAGAATCTCGCCACAATTTCAATCATATATTCTTTTTAACATGATTAACTATTTAGTTAAGATAATTTGAAATTAATATCGTATTCAAAATTATTCTTCACACAATTTTTAAATTTTTTAAAATCTAAATAAGCTCAAATTTTTTTAAATTGAATTTATTTACACCAAAATCAATTGCTTTTGAAAATAACAATATGTGCGGTACCAATATTCTTTATAGGATAAATCACTACAACTAGCAAGCTATTTTAGTAATTTTTTTAAGGAATCATAAATGATAAAAAATTTATTTCTCCAAACTTTCGTTCAACAATTCCTTCAATACACACATACGCAAATTACAGTAAGCCCAACTAATTTTCATGTATAACGTAAATATATTATGTATGTAAATCATACAAACACAATATATTCGTACATGT